TATGAAGGGTAGATCGAGTCAAAGAGAAAGACCGATTGACGTTCTCAATAATTTTAGCCTTCTAAAATTTGAAATATTCAGTGAAAAAACAATAGATCTAGCATATTTTTCACGGGAGAAAAAATACCGCGTATTGTATATTTTGTAACTAAAAGAGAAGGATTTACAGAAGTCTTGAATAACGAGATAATAAGTAGGGAAATTATTTCTGAGAAATATATAAAATAGTTTAAAAACATAAACTCAAAACGAATGTTATATGTAATTAATGGAAGAAGTATTGTACTGTTGTAGATTCATGTCATTAAGTGTGTTTAAAATTATTTTTAAATGTTATCAAAAGTTAAAAATATATTATTAATATTTGAATTGAACGTGTAATTTTTACAATTAAGTTGCAAAATCTGGGTATACAAAAAATATTTTAAATGCCATCAAGACAAATTTATCTCAACGCTTAAAATTATCTGTTTGAGGTTACATATGCCTAACTGCCCTCTGTCAATGCCGCAACTGGAATCATCCATAAAAAGCGCGAGGCATTTTTGTTACGTCATATATTTCGTAAATAATTGTTGTTGACGTAATAAAGTTTTTTTTCGTCAGAAATCCATTTTCAAGAGTTATAAGCATGGACCGTTCCGATTATTTCCGCCTATTGCGCAATCCCTAGTGATTGTTGCTATGCCTCACAAAATGGCGGCCGTACCTGTTTCATCAACAACAACCGACTCGCTAGAAGATGTACCCGATAATATATCTATTAGTTTTCTACCTAATCACAGAAGTCTTATGGAAAGGATTATAAAAAGAGGTTTAAATTACTATATACAAGGCTATGTCCATCAAATTAGGGTTCATATTGACGATAAACCCAAGGTAAAGGTTGTTGCTCGGTGTTGGAGATCTATGAGGAAAAACGAAAAGCCGCACACGCTACACATTGAGATTCTTAAAGATACTATAACAGAGTCGTACTGCTCTTGTAAGGTTGGGTAAGTAATCAAGTACGTAAAATTGTCAACAACTTAATTGCACCCCTCCCACTTTCCAAAAAAAATAAAATAATAATAATAGAATAAAATAAAATAAATGAATGAAAAATATAAAAAAAATGTATAGACCATACACCATTATGTAGATCTTTTTATTAAATAACTATGTCGGATTTTTTATTTATTCCCTTCAATGCAGAAAAAATATATATTTAACCATCCTTGAATAGGCCTATAATTGTACAGAGTCTGATGTAGTCTTGTAGAAACATTTTCGTGCTTTTGTAAAAACGATTTACTGTATAGACTGAAAAAAAGAGTCATGGTGAATTTTTTCTGTCAACTTAATTAATCAAAAAAGATCTAATGATAACAAAAATGATGATCATCATCATCCTCATGATTTATCATCATCATTGTTGAATCACTATTTGATACAATAATAATGTGCAGTCTTGTATATTTCAGATTAACAGGCCCACTGTTCCCACATTATTGGTCTAGTGAAAACCCTTCAAGGACTGAAACTACACAACATCAGTAATGTACCTGACCAGTTGAGCTGTACAAGTGTGCCCCAACAATGGCATGTTCCAAGAGGAGAGAAAATAGAGCCTGTCCCACTTAACCATGTTGTGGTGGCCAAAGCTTGTGAGACAAGAAAGAGAAAACCAGTTTTTTGCCAAGTTGACACTCAGTACAAGTAAGATTTTAAACAAAGTAAAAAGTAACTACAAATATGTTTTTAAAATGTCTTTCTTTTTATCTTACATAACTATAAAGAAACCAACCATTTAGGCGTTTTTACTTATATAAATTTTAACAATAATGTCAGATACTTGTACATTTTTACATGTATAAAATTTGTTAAAATGTTTTAATTTATGAAATCTTTCACATAAATTACAGGCTTCCAGAGGTTACCAGCAATGATATATAGAGCAGTTAAAAAGGGCCAAAGGCACACCTCTTGAATACCTTCTCTCATCAAAGAGGCCATTAGTTACAACAGATCTTGGTCAAGTTCAGCTTGGGTCATTTCTGTCATATCAGGTAATATATTTGTAGATACAATATTTTAACATCTATGTAATATACATAAGGTTTAATTGAATTGCTCATTCTTAGGTAAAATGTTTTAATCACAGAAATTCATTGAAATCTATGATATTCTTAATAAATATGTTGAATTTGGATAAAAGATTGAATAAACTATGTATAGGAAGCTGCATTCTCTTGAACAGGTCGAGTAAAGTTGTTCTTTTCTTTAAAAAAAAATGCCAGTTTTTTGTAATGACACTATACATGTATATTCATATTGTGACCACCTATAGTATGTAGAATTTTAATCATAACATATCTACTTTGTGTGAAGTCAATACATGTTTATTTTATATTTACTATGTACTAATTATCAATATTTTCTAATATCAAATTTGAACATAGTATATCTTTAATACAAATTCATCCAAAATCAATCAAGTAATAACATAACTACTAATTTTGCAGTAGTATGTTATTATTTGTTAAACAAATGTTATTGCAACTCAGTCTTTGTCGTTTACAAATATTCTCTGATGTAATGTAAGTATTGCACAAACAGACCAGATCTTATTAGCTTGTTTTAAATAATGATGTAGGAATTTTATGAGACAACAATTTATATGTCTTCACTTTAGCTATTACTCTTTCAACATGAACTCTGTGTTTGGCAATTTTTTGAGTTAAATAAGTATCAGATGAAGACATCTGTGATGAACAAGAAGAAAATGGGGGAATGTTTAACACAAGGCCAAGTTTATTAAGTTCCTCTTGTATTGTAAACCCCTTATCAGCCATTATACCATCACCTGGATTAATGTAACCATGGTTTTAACAAATCTTTCAATATGGCATAAAATCCACTTTATTCACAGATCATTTTATCTGATATTGAACCAGTAAAAAGCTCAGAAATAAAAATTACAGATCCACTTGGGTCACACCCAATTAAAGCTTTAAGAGTAGTAGATGATTTGTAATCACTGTACATTTGACTTTGAAGGCTAATGCATTTGGTACTTGAGTTTTGAATTCTGTTCCATCTATCATAATTAAGGTTGTAGGAAAATCTTTCCTAAATTCTGCTGGCATTCTAGATATAATATCATCCCTTGGGGGCCACAGTGAAATCTGGCCAAATTTAAAATATAAAATATCTAAAAGTTTGTTAAATACAATGCCTGTTGACTAACTAAATCTCATTGCCAAATCTTTCAGTCCAAAATCATGTCTCAATCTGCATAGTACTAGAAGAAGTGCATTTTCATTTGATAGTAGCTTAATGTCAGTCCTACCATATTTTACAGTTTCTTGTGGATTTGGAAACTAAAAAAAGAAAACAAAAATTTAAAAAGTTGACATAAGTTTTCCAGTTGTAATATTTAACAAGTTTTCATATCCTTTTCCCCCTATTTCTAATTCCTTCTTGCAGAAAATTTTTTTTTTCTATCTTTTCCAAAAATTTTGTAATTTTGATGTTCATCTATTAATCTCTTGTCCTTTCTCCAATAATGAAGTCTTTAGCTGCAGGTACCTCATGTAGATGAACATCTTGAGTTTCTCTGAAATTATTAACTCCATTTTTAATTTCAGACAAGAAATTTGAAGTCACTGATTTCCTGTTAAGCAACAAATGAGCTTTTGGTAACCTTCGTGGTTCACAAAATTCATCACCAATTTACTTCCTGAAAAGTTTCAGCACTGAAATTCATTATACAATAACAGATTCCACCTGACATTAGAGCAAGATGTACAAGAAACAGGAAAATGTCGTGGAAAAAATGGGCATCAAGCCAGACAAAACCGGCTTACAGCATTCAAACTTTGGTGAAATCATGTTAAGGAAATTTCCCCTAATGAAAAATTACTGTCACGTTTATTTTCTACCGGTAAAGATATTCATGCCCCATCTATATCTTATGGGAAAAGAAATGAGAGCAAAGCCAAGTCTAAATATCTAGCTCAGTTTCCAGGAAGACACATTCATGAATGTGGTTTTGTTGTAAATAATGAGTTTATTTTTGGGTGCAACCCCAGATGGAAAACTCTGTGATAATGGAAAAGTAGGGATTATAGAAATAAAATGTCCCTATAGTGCCAGGGACTTGACTGTTGCTGATGCTTGCTGCCAATTAAATAATTTCTTTTTACACACTGATCAGAATGACCAGGTTGTACTGAAATCAAATCATGCATACTATGCCCAGGTTCAAGGACAGCTCATGATTACAGGTAGTTCATTCTGTGATTTCATTGTATATTGTCCAAATGAGTCTGACTTGTTTGTTCAGCGTGTTGAACCAGATGTTGAATTTATGACAAATATGCTAAATGTATTAGCCAGTTTTTTTGAACAGTACCAAACCCCTTTTCTTACTTTTGGCATAAGGGAAAATGTATAGTTTCAAACAAATTTTAATTTTTTTATACATTTTACGGGTTTTTGGGCCAGGGCATAAGAAACTTTTTGGCTTCCTTTTAACAAAGAATTTTGGGTTATAAAAGGGTTTACACTAAATTATACTTGCCATTAAATATATTCATGGAAATTTCACTTAAATTAAATTTTCCCATCCCAATCCCTTTTTTCTGTTTGGCAGCCAATTTTCCCCATTGTCCCCCTTAAGTCAAAATCTTTTTGGGATTTCCATCATTTTTAGTTTTTTGTACTTTTTCAAAATTTAAGAAAAAAAGATCATTGTATCAGTAAAAAATCCCTGTTTCAAAAAATTTTTTAAATATTTATATTTGGGGTTTTATGGAGTGGAATTCACTATTAAAAAACAATTATCACTTTGTTTATTGTAACATACCCTTAATTGTTACAAAAACACATGTTATAATTTAGTACTGTGTTAATTAGCATAATATTGAGCAAAAAGGATTCTGTGTAGGGTAAGACAATCATGCATGGACTCTCTTTCAAAATTTCCATGTCAATGTGACAAAATTCTACTGAAGTTACAGTTGTGTACAGTCAGTACAACCAGTTTTTATTTATCTGATGTAATAAATTTGTTGAATTTTATTTCACTTTTTGATTTTACAGATAACATTATATAAATGTAAACAAATTCAGATGATTTAAATAAAAAGTGCCATTGTTTAAAGGATTATTATTAATGAATAAATGCAAAATATGAAATTTTAACCCTACTCTTTGTTTTTTTCTTGTTCAACCAAAATGTCAAATGATATAGGTGCTTCCAAGTCCAGCCGCCTGCGCTTGGGTGGTGGTCTGGTAGGAGATGCCAATGATCCATCAGCTGGCAGGGGATCTAGATATTTGTCAGTTGGCCCATTTTCTCCCATGAAGTGCTGTAATTATGAGAATAAGTGATTATTTGTGTTAAAAAAGAATAAATACAAATAACAATAACGGAGGTAGGGCTCTATATATGACATAGATCTATAAATGAAACAAAAGATCTGTATAGAGTAACCATTTATCCAGCTGAAAGGGTCATAATGTTATAATATAAAATGGCTTTTTAGTATTTTTTGTATGTTTAACAAAATAACCAAATATTATTTTACTAATTTGGTTAAAAGATCAGTTTTCTAGGAAATTATATTATTTTCATGGTCACTATTTTTTTTGTAACATATAATCTTTAGTCTACCACCCATGAAGTTAGCCATTTACAACATTTGCCTTTTTTACTGAATTGATAATGAATTTTCTGACAAGAGTCAAAGATAAAATGTATTATGAAAATATAAAAAAGTTTGGAGCAGTTTGTAATTATTTTTAAGGATGGCCAGTTTTGGTCTCAACATTATTCAGGCATAGACTAGACTAGCTCATTTAGCTATCTAGGCTAGTTCATAAGTTGCTTTGAGCTGTCAAAAAAACTGACAACAACATGTTGGCACACATCAAACAGAAATCAAAAGCCAGCCTGGCTAAGTAAATCATTTCATGTTTAAATCAGCATTTCTTACAGATTCACTTACCGTTGAACACACGACTTTATTTTTGTTAATCCTGTTGACATTTAACTGTTCATGCGGTCGAGCGCATGCCTTTATCCACCGTAAACACTTCTCAAATTGAGTTTTAGGGTTAGGAAATGTTATGAATCTGACCCCAATCATCTTATCAGGATACCTGCAATCTGCATTGCATGTTCCCCAAGCACATCTACGCACCATTTTGAATAAAACCGCGGTATTTACTTTTGATGTAGCAGTTGCCAAGTGAAAGCTTGTGAGCACAAGATGGCGGGTAGCAACAAGCAATACCGCACTGAAGTAAACGGATCACTTTCATTGGTTAAAAATATCCGTCGCGGAACGGTCCATTGTAATGTTGACAACAAAAATTGATGGGCCGTTCTTGAATTATGGATTTGGAACATGCTGAATTATGATGTGTTTCATTTACATATTTCATTTGCTAACCCAGATAACTCCACAAATTGAACAATGTTTTAATAATGAGACGGATTATCAGTTTACAAAATCTGGATCATCAAAAGTGTATGTCATTCAGGATTTTTGAAGTAAAATAGTGGGATCTACGGAACTGGATAGAAACTGACAATGAAGGAATCTTCAGAATGCGAATTTGTCGTGGCGTTTATAAAGTTCATAGGGATTCTATAGGTCTTGTTTTTTTATTATAGTGTCACCCCTACTGAAAGGGCCAGCCATTTTGGCTTATGAGACACCTTTTGGTTGCATACCATGTACCTCCCAATTCCTACCACTATGCCAGGCGCCAGGCGGATAGAAATCGGTAACCATTCATTTTAACTACCTCGCGGCTCACGAAGCGGCCATTTCGGAACGAGTCCCACGAGAAACAGTCATCCTTCAATTAACGCTCCCCGTGGGGCTCGAACCTTCGACCTCCTGATCCGAAGGCGGACGCCTTAACCACTAGGCCAACGGTACCGGTTGTACAGTATGTACAGTAGCTTAAAAGTAAGTGCAATTTCTAGATCTACTCCATTGGACTCGGTGTTCTTGTTGCTTATTTTTCATTTCTTAAAGATTTTCATCATGCATTGCAACTAAACTGTTACATCTTGTAGATCCAGCTTTTTAAAATAATCATGAAACGACCCCGAGAACCTCATGTATATTTTAGAAACATGACGCATGCTTTCTCCCGTTCATCTTCAAATGAAGAGTACTTCGGCAATGGCTACGGAAAATAAACAACAGAGATTTACCATTGAGAAATCAAAATTTGCTTTCACAAGAAAAGTAGACACCTTAGAAAAAATCCTGAAAAATCTCGAGGGTGACTTTTTTTTAGTTTACAAAAATAGTTTAATTTTTATTAAACCTCGTTTTGTTAATTCATACCAGGCAAAAGTTCATTTCCATTTTTAATGGGACGGACTAATGTAACTTTGAAATGCAGTTCTTTTATACATTTATATGAATTAATATGAATAAAAAATCAGATACACTAAACAGATTACAAGATTTTTTTTCAATCGAAAGATCATCTGAAACGTATTTGCAAAAAGATTTATGTATAAATAAAAGAATACACACTCTGAGGAAACAGTTTAATTAATTTAGTGGATGATACAATAATGTAATGGAGTTTTAATCAGTTAAATAATAATATCCATTGAAAAATCGTCTCAGCTTTGACACGTTCAATAACTTAAGATATCATTATCCCTACTGCGTGAACCGAAACTGTTCTGTAAAATCCAAATATCCGCACGCTTCTAACCTAAAACTTAAGTATCCGATTATGCTATTTTAGAAAAATTCCCCTAGGAAAATGTTCTAGTACGGAAAGGTAATCATAAGTATAATAATTATGTACCTTTAGCAATATGAGTGACCTTCTTTTTTCCATTTGTCACTACGTAATATTTGGTTTCCTTTGTAACTGAACCCTTTTGCATAACCACTTTAAAATAACCAAAGAAATCCCTGTTATAGTAACTACACATTCATCAAACATCTTAATTTAGACATTTCCTCAATGTATCAACCACTATTAAATGATGATTGTACGGCATTTAATTGATTACAATTATGTTTCATACCATAAGCTTTACTAAGTTTATATTGATACGCATCACTTTGAACACCGTTTCCCTTTTTAAAATAAGCTTTATTACCTATTTTACATTCATTTTAGTTTAATACCTTACTGGTAAAAGGAATTATTAGAAAGCCTGCAGCTGATAATTACTTGAAAGCAGTTATCAAATATTTCTCTAAAATAATCCTTTTACTCCATGTTGCAAACAACATAAATATCTTTGCAGGGTTATTTCATCGATACTTCGATATGCTCGTTTTAAGCGAAATCATTATTTGACTTTGCGAGTTTTGGCTACTATATTACTTTTTAAAAGGACTCTTTTGAGTTTTCCGATATGACTTGAATTTTTTCCCCTATTCGTGTAAAATTAGATGTTAGTCGGGACCAAATTTTAAGATCGATGCCTTATCCCATTTTTGTCCAGGAAAAATGACAAAAAAGCGTTGCAGCTAAAATTGGCCGAAAATCATACAAATAAAATTGACACTCAAATTAATTCTGAGTAAATTCCTTATCCTTTGCAGATTTTTCATTTATTTTTTTCATATGGTCTATTCATGGTAACATTCAATCTATAATAATAGCTATAAAAAGCACACTTTTTGACATATTGAATGCTTCTGGACGTATAGTCAGGGCACATTTAGCGAGACATGCACAAATTAATTGTTAAAAAATCATATTAATGTCTTTAATATGCCGAAGGTCATTCAAGAATGTGTTCTTGTAAAGTATATAGGGAAGTTATGAATAATAATAGTAGAATAATTTTCATTGGTCTATTAATCTCATTCAACAAATAACTGCTCAACATTTTTATAAAAAAATACCTATGCATGGCTCTCAGTAGGGTCTCAATCACACGGGCCAATGATTCTTTGACGAACTTTTCATGAACCAACTCGGTATTTTTCAGAGGTGATCAACTTTGTTGGATAAACACGTCTCATTTCTGGCATCCATACAATCCTGTCAAATATGTGTTTTCTTTATATGTGTCCATCTGTCAACATGAAGGAATATATAACTATGTCTATATATAAAATGAAACAGTTAAGATGAAAAACAAATGTAAAAAAAACATTGTTTAATTTTAAAAACACTTTCCTATGTTAACAAATAGACTATGATCCAAATGGGCTTTAGATACTGTAACATACATTTCACGCCAGGTATTTGAAGCAAAATGAGATCAGCTATGGGCATCTATAACTTATTCACAATATTAACAATGTCAATTTCAATCTTCTTTGCGCTTTCAGTTTCCATTTTGTTTAAAATTACGTCTTACATTCCCCTTCATTCAAAATCATGTTTTCATTTGAGATTAAAATAGATAAATACAGAATCCCTAAAGAAAGCCCAACACGGCAAAATTGAAAATGTTGCAGGCTCGGTTTGATTGAGCCTGTTCATGGACGGTACTGGAAAGTGCAAGTTACCGTCCACGCCCCCTAGCACCAGCTTAAGCAGAATTCAACATTTAAACATGAAATAGTAAAATTTTGAATTTAGAAACATCCGCAGATGTGTTCATACGGCGGTAATCATGGAACCTTCAATGTGACACTTCCGTGCCATTCCATGAAAAGCGGCGTATGGTCCCCAAGTAATAAAAAACGTGTGCCCTAAACGAGAAAACAATGGGCGGAACTAAATAAAATGGAATTTTGAAAGGGGATCAGAGGTTATGAAGCCTGCGTATCACAGATAAGACGTCAAAAGACAAATTTAAAAAGCAGGCAACATATCCTAAGGGTGATTCAACATTATTCAAGTAGGAATATTGGAACCACCCAATTAGAAAATGCCGAAAAATTGAAACTAAAAATACCACAAGCACAACAATAATGTCGTGCTGAACGATCTTCAAGGATCGAAAATATAACATCATTGATTAAATGTACGGGGAGACTTTTTACAGCCGCCACACGGCACAAATAACACGAATGTGATCATAAAATAGATAAATACAGAATCCCTAAAGAAAGCCCAACACGGCAAAATTGAAAATGTTGCAGGCTCGGTTTGATTGAGCCTGTTCATGGACGGTACTGGAAAGTGCAAGTTACCGTCCATGCCCCCTAGCACCGGCTTAAGCAGAATTCAACATTTAAACATGAAATAGTAAAATTTTGAATTTAGAAACATCCGCAGATGTGTTCATACGGCGGTCATCATGGAACCTTCAATGTGACACTTTCGTGCCATTCCATGAAGAGTGGCGTATGGTCCCCAAGTAATAAAAAGCGTGTGCCCTAAACGAGAAAACAATGGGCGGAACTAAATAAAATGGAATTTTGAAAGGGGATCAGAGGTTATGAAGCCTGCGTATCACAGATAAGACGTCAAAAGACAAATTTAAAAAGCAGGCAACATATCCTAAGGGTGATTCAACATTATTCAAGTAGGAATATTGGAACCACCCAACTAGAAAATGCCGAAAAGTTGAAACTAAAAATACCACAAGCACAACAATAATGTCGTGCTGAACGATCTTCAAGGATCGAAAATATAACATCATTGATTAAATGTACGGGGAGACTTTTTACAGCCGCCACACGGCACAAATAACACGAATGTGATCATAAAATAGATAAATACAGAATCCCTAAAGTCGTCTTAGTTGAGTCATTATAGACTTTTGATGTAAATGAAAGAAAATCACTAAGTGAACGATAAATGTCGTTAATTACTTCACGTAATTGTAAATTGCAATGTTGTAGTTAAACAACACGGCTAATAGTCGTCTATAATTTACAATATTTACCGCTATGCTATATGACTCATAGCTGATTTCAAAAGACGGTTGCAAATAAATCTTATCAAATCTGAAATCTTTTTTCAATAACCTCCTTATTATCGAATGAAAATTTCCGTTGTAATATGGATTTAAAGTTTATTCTGCAGTATAGCAAAATGCGAACGTTTATTCACTAATCATATTCTTGTAACAAGAAGGGACATAGGTTGATTTTCATGTTTGAGTATTTCATAGTATCACTCAAATGCGAAACTTCCTCTGAGAACAAACTATTTAGAAGAAAGATTCTAACATATTTTGTGTTTTTTCACTAAACACAATGAAGAAATAAACGCTTTTATTCTGCCAATAAACACTGGCTATGGACTACACAAATATGTGGCTGTTCTTTATTTCTCCCTCCTAGTATTCTTTTCTTTTCATATGATGCTAAAATAGGATTACATAAACACTAACACCAGTGGTTTATACATATCAGTTGATAGAAAATTCTACCGTAATGGCAATTCGTTAGCAG